GGAGGGATAATGTTTTCTCATATTTTACATACACATCTATGCAATGTGAGCATCCATCAACAGGGGACTCATTTCCATTTTTATTTTCATTTAAATGGATGGAAAATGAAAACACTTCCCGAATTTTACAGTATTTCACCAGTATAAGGTATGTAGAGTGACAGCATGCTGTTTTTTGAAAAATTGTTTTCTAAATAATGCTGAGTATTTTCTTCATCACAAACGTGCCTCGCATTTAAACAGCTACGACTCATTTACACCATGTCATCTGCTGCCAGTAACAGAGGGGTAAGCTCATCGCTGAAGGACACCTCGGCAGAAAATGCACTGAACACAGGGTTGCGTTACTCAGCTGCTATGTCAAACGTACCAGTCTGGGGATTTTTAACATGCTTTTGTCGGGTCATAATCCCATTTCATTCCGACTTGGTATGTGCTGACTATAGAGAAGGAGGATCCTCAAAGGGACAAGCATGGGGACACAGTGAAACATGTCAGGAATTCCAATCAACATCAGTTGACCTTTGGCTCCACCAGCATTCGCCATGCGCTGTCTGTCTCTGCAGTTCTGCCCTCCCATCTTCCCCCTGCTCTCCTGTCCTTTGCAGCAAGGTGACGCTGAAGATTAATGAACCACATGCAGCATCATGGGATTAAGTTCGATGCAGAGGATTTGTATAAGTGGATCTGATTTTAAAACAATCAACGGATTAGTTTGGTGTAAAGAAATGGGGTGTTGGGGCGTATGTACACCCACCCAACCTCTTACATTTCTCTTCATGACATCTCTCACGCTCCAGGCCAGCATTGTTGAAGAGGGTGCTATTTGGCTCCAGTAGGTGTTGGGTTTTAATCCCATCCACTCCCACTTCAGCAGCAATGTAAAATCATGGCTATCACTTTTTTTTCTTTTTTGTTTTTTTACTGAGTCATCATAGTGGAGGACCAAGGTTGTGAAAGGTGCAATGGCAATTCTTAGCTTGAGACTAATGTGTGCAAAGTGTACTTTAAAGGACAGAGTGAATGGAGAACAGTGGAAAGGATGTACATGATTGCGTATGAAAGAAAGAAACAAAGAGAGAGAGACGGACATATCATTAGGGAAATTGTTTCTCCAATGTGAGTCAAACGTCTCGGTGCAGCAGTGTCACTCCAGAGAAGGTCATTCATGAGAAGGACACAACTGGATACACTCAGCTCACTATCGGGCATAATGGGTAAATGGTTGAGGGTAAGTTTGTGTGTGTGTGCGTGACTGCTTGCGTGTGCATTTGCTAGGCCTGGAGCCAAACTAGCTGGGGATGTTTTTAGTCATTTGACCCACCCGACCTCAAAGTGTCATAAGTGAGCAGAGATAGGGATGAAGCCATGTTATTTTATGGGCCAATCTTAGCCTGGGACATAATAATGACAGGTCAAGTAACCATGACTAAAGGGGAGGAGTGAAGTAGGCTAGGAAATCAAGGAAATAGAAAGTTCCAGTGCTTTCATGGCCATAGAGACAGCAGATTAGCAAGACTCTACTAGTCTAGATATCTATCACTTGCAGTGATTCTGTAACTGTAGTTCCTGTGGTAATAATCCTTAAAACTGGTGCAATATATTTCTTGTATTACTCTTTTTGTCTGACTTTTCCGTCCTTTATTTTCTGCCTATTTTCCCCTAGTCTCCCCAGTTTTAGCACTGCATGTGATGTGCCAACAGAAAACTGCAAGCCATGGCCTTAAAATCTATGGATGAGTGCCCACTAATAGTCAGATTTGTATTGTAAACTAAGGGATATTGCTGAGTTTGCAGCATCTTACTGCCATTTATAACCCTGTCATGTTCAGCGGCATGGTCACAAGCAAAAAGAGGAACAGTGAAAACATAAGCACTATTGTCAGATGGGAGTCTAGTCTGTGGAAGTTACTGAAATGCATACACTTCAGATAAATAAAAAAAAAAAAAAAAAAATACTGCTGATTTTTTATTTCTGAAAAGTTATGCTTGACTGCAGCAAGCAGCATCCTCAGCATTTGTAAAACAAGCACATCTGTGAGGATTTCAAACAGAAAACCGCATCTCTCTGCAGACTAGAAAAGCTAAATTTATTATCTCCATTAAATGGGAAATCAAAAAAAGCAACTTACAGAACAAAATCGTTACAATTATGATAATCAAGTACAAATTACAATTCAGACAATTAATCTGTTTGGCTGTAGTGGAGTGGCAGCGATAGTTATTGATTAAAAAGAAAAAAAAAAACGCTGTTTAATTACAATTATAAATCAGCTCTTAAATTTCAGAACTGCATACAGAGCTGAAGTTCTGAAAATATAGGAAATTAAATCACAAAGCAAGTGCTATTCAGTACAATGCAAGCTCCAGGGGAAAGTTATAGCCCTTGCCACAGGTTAGAGGAGAAAAAGGCACATTTTGCTGTGCTCTGTACAGATTATTGTTTACAGTGTGCAGTGTCAGCAAATAGGGAAAATATATGTACTGTAGATATCCCTTAGGAAGCAAGTTCTCTAGTTTGCTGGTACCCCTCGGCTTTAAGCACAACAGATGAGTGCTCTTGTTATCAGGACACAAACACAATTCAGCCAAAGCATCCTGTCACTCTCCTGGTAACAAGATAAATGCTTGTTACCCTCTTAAAGCACCGAGATAAAACACCCCAGCTGGTATCCATGTTCGAACACCTCTCATTTGAGCTTGTTGAATGTGCTACCGTGAACAGACACTGCAATTACAGTCTTGCTGAAAATACACACAGGTCTGGAGTTCACAAATCTCCAGAGAGCCATGTTTAATTCATGAGAGAACCTAAAATGAGTCAGAAAGCGAGACCTTGCAACCCCTGTAATGTATGCAGCAAGGTTTTTTGAAAGCTTTGTGTGTGTCCCGTGCCTCTGCTCCTCTGTCTGTCTGTCTTCTCCCTGCTCAGATGCCTGTCACGTCACTCTGCCCTTTGCTTTGGACCATCAAAGTCAACACTACATTCCTGTGTGGATCTGATTTGTGACGTGGCCCTCTCACTTCCCAATGCTCGCTTTTGCATTCCCTCTCCTCACTTGTCAGTGATCAAATAGAGAAACATCAAAGACAGATGACAAAGAAATGTCAGATGTCGTTAAGGTCAGGAACCAGCGACAAAAGTAATTTACCCGTGGTCTTTTGCTTGGTTAGTTACAAGGTCCCTTGTTCTTTTCAGTAAATTAAAAGTAGTTGATTTTTAAACAACACCCAAGGGCTCTGTAAGTTAATTGCCTCTTGGAGCTCCAAAGGTGTTGTAAGATTGCTGCTAAAATTATGGCTTTATCTGAGCCCCCCCCAACACACACACACACACACAGACACACATACACACACCATTCTCCTCTATAACTACAGCAGCGGCTGTTATTAAATCCAACATCATTCAGGAGACATTGAAAGTGTTCCCTTTCTACTTCTGCTGTCACTTTGGACCTCACATAACAGATGTTTAAAAATACCTATTTCGGCATACAACTCGGGAGCAAAGAATACTCTTTAAAATCACTTCACACTATAGAGTAGACTGTCAGCACATCACCTACTCGCTCCAGGGGAGCTAAAAACAACCACAAAGATAATATGTACACTGTTTTCTATATTAGATTAGATGTAAAGTAAAAGACACAACATTGTTTGTGACAGATGGTACTTATTTGTCCGTCTCCAACTGATTAAGAGAGTGATCACTGCCTTTGATCGAATGTGATGGGGCCATGGTGGTGTGGTGTGAGAGCAGTTGTGTGTCTGCATCTGTGTGCGCATGTGGGCACATGCAGTCGAAACAAGCCTGGCAATGAGGAGCCTGCTCTTTGGGAAAATGACATCATTAAAAATGTTGCAGCTGAGCCTGCTTCATACAGGCAAATTAGTCAACCGTGGACACTGGGTCATCTCCCATGTGTTGTTGTCAGCTAGTCCCTTAGCATTGGGATCTGTGGTCATACTGAAACGGGTTAGTATTTATTTTAGTCTTGGTTTAAGCTGTAAATCCATCTAATGGTTATTTTGGAGTTAATGATTGCCCATGTGTCAATTTCTGTCTCAAGAAGAATTATCTACAGCTGATTTGTTTTGAAAAACACATTGTGAGAGAAATTCAATTCTTTGAAATGCTACTTGTTGTTCTTTATGTTCTTTATGTTCTTTGTCCTACAGTCTCATGTGTGGTTAGGAAAACCATAACATAAGAAAACATTAATGCTTGTGTTGCTATATGCAGCTATCATATTACAAGCATGGTTATTATAGGGAAACAAGCAGCATACATTGACATTGACATGTTCGGTATCAACATTTTCAGATATGCCAATGTGTTATGCTCATTAACAAGACGAACAGCCTGCTGCTATGATAATTGTTCTGTCAAGCTGAACTGAAGTGCAGCAGTGAGCTTAATGGCATGTTAACATGTTAACAATGACAAAATATTGATGTTAAACATACATAACATACACAAAAATGTGTTTCCTTGAGTTTTTAGGGAAGCTGCAATAGCAGTAGTAGTCACAGTGTCTTGGATATGTCTACATCCCAGGATATTGCCTGTATGACAAAAATATTTATTTGGTCAAAATATTACATCCAGGACAAATGCAAACATTTGACTCTCATGGGTCTCTGTGAGTTCTGATTACACCAGCTGGCAAACATTGACATATTGACAAATTGAAGCGATTTTAATGACAGGTAGACTTTAATGTGCTTGGGGGGGCAGGGGATGGGTGTGCAATACATCAACACAATGGTCATGTAGACATAACACATGAAAGAATGAAACATACACAGGAAAAAACTTGTATATGACGGCACTGTAGTGCTGACCTTTATTGTCTGCTGTGTTGGTTGATTTTAATGTCGGTGAGCAACAAACCATAGAGATCATTCCTACAATCTGTTACAAATAGTAATGTTTTAAATGTCACCTTTGGGTGACTAATGTACTTTGTTATGACCTTACAGGTGAGCTTCAGCTGAAGATGGCAGGAGATTCTCGAGTCCTAATGGACCACAACATGGAGATAGGAGTCACACCTGCACAGGTAAACTGCACAGCAGACCACATTTTCCCAAACTGTACAAATTACTGCAGTATTTCCACAACTGGGAGATACTAGATGTGAGATATGAGGGAGACAACACTAGAGAAAGGTAGTAAGGAGGTGTGGCCTCATTGAGAGAACAGGGGAAGCAAAATAGATAGAGAAGATACAGAGCGATGAAAATGATTGGTAGGGACAGAGCTATATATGAAAGAAAACCAAAGTGACAGTTTTCAAGAATTGTGGGAAATGGAGAAGCAAAAGAGGCAGTTAGACACAGAATAGATATGCTCCATAGATACTTCACAGATTAAATAAGTGATACGGCCTATAAATTAAGCTTTACAAGGTGTGATCAAATCTGTTTCAGTATATAATTCAGTTTACTAGGCAGTGGAGATGATAAGGAAAGTACACCCCATTCCCTTCCAATAAGGGATAGTGGAGTTGTGCTTGTTATCTGTCCTGATTCCCCAGCTGATTGGAACTTATTCAGTCTACTCAAGCCTGAACAGAAAGGCTCAATGAGAGAAAACCCACAGCACTTACTACTGCCATGTAGAGACAGCTAGTGAATGTTTTTATGGACCATCACCACCAGGGACCATACTGACCAATGACAATGGCCAAAGATTGGGAAGCAGCACTTGTGACAGCGTTATCTATCACTCAAATTAGCCCATTCCAATGCATTGAAACAAATGTGTCTATTTTAGATGTGTTTCATTCCAAAGCTAAAGAGTAGTGATTAACAACAATTCAAAAAACAACTGTAAATGTTGGCTGTTCTTGTCAGTGGAAACATTTGACAGTTTGACTCTAAAATTCAGTGGACTGACTGTGTTCTGAATCTATATTTGATCCAGTATCTGTGAGCATAGTCTGTAATAGGGGAGCCCATTGACATTTAGTGAATGCATTGTCATCAAGCTGCTAATTGCAATGCAGGTCAATAAGCATTGTCTTTCAATTCTTCTTTGTCAAAACGTTCCTTAAACAAGGATCACTTCAAATCGATGTCGGAAAAATCAATACTGCACATGCAGACCTGACCAAATGTGCACATCCCCAGGACAGCAGAGAAACGGCACCTGACATCTCAATTAAGCTATCTTTAATATACCCGTCAAGCGACAGATTTTATTTAGCAGGATCTTCAATCAAAGGCAGCACAGGGACATTGTAGTGCCTTAGATTATGTTCTTCCCTAGCAGAACTGTGCGATCTTATCTGAGATAGAGCAGTGTCGCAGCTAGTGAAAGCACAGTAGGATGTAACTTTTCTGGTGATGTGAGCATGACTCTGGAGGGAAATGGATCACAGGTGTCCGATTAGCAGGGAGACACTCAGAGGGCACAGGAGATGTTTTCTTGCCTCGACACAATGCATTTCAATTATCAACTGAGATTGGAAAGTGTCTGTGTGCTGCTAAAGTGTCCTTGGGCTGTTTGAAAGGTGCCTTACAACTTTGTCCTGGTGTATGTTTCCCTTTATGTCTGTATGAATGGATGTGTCTGTCCAAGATGAGGGCCAAGAAATGGAGCAAATTCTATGCAGGCCCTGCCAAAATACACTGCCAGATTCTGAGGCATTCAGTGTTTTTCTTTTCTTTTTTTTTGGCCTTTTTGCCTTTATTTGATAGGACAGTTGAAAGAGAGACAGGAAGGTGGGATAGAAGAATGGGGGAAGGGGTTGCAGCAAAGGGCCATGAGTGGGATTCGAACCCATGGTCGCTGCTTCGGGGACTATAGCCCCTGTTCATGGGTCGCCAGCTCAATCGGGTGAGCAATAGTGGAGGCCCCATTCAGTGTTTTTCAATAATTGTACATGCAGTAAAACACACTCTTACAATGATGCACTTTCTAGATAAGTGCACGGTGTCTCCCCAGACATATACCACTCTTCTTAAGGATACCATAAAGGTGCATTGTGAATGGATGGAAGATCTGTTCCTATCTGGGCCTGCCAATGTCCCATAGGGTGCAAGGGAAGGAACACACAGGACAGGGAGGGAGGCAGGGCACAGCTGTGGAGCCAGATCGCCTCGCTGGAGCTGGGCCAACACAGACAAAGACCTCAATGTCCTTGTGTTCTTGTTGTGTCCTCTCTCTCCATTTCTTTTTTTGCCCTGTACACATATATACATCCACTGACACCTACAATGTCATTGTCGAGCAGCACGGGGAAGTGACTCTATAACCACTTAATAATTTGATTTGGCTCCGCCACCAGCAGTGTGGTTTTGTTGGCTGAAAAGAAAATCACGTATTTAAAAAAAAAGATTAACACCTACATCCTGCAGTACAAACTCTGTCTAGCTGTGAGGAAAATATTAACTGAAATGAAGTGTTGGTACCATATTATACACCCAAGTAGAGAAAAACTTAATTTGCTGATGATTTCTCTCCTTTCATTCTTACTTTGTATGTCTACCTTCTTTCACCTTCCTGCTTTCCCTTACTTTGCTACTCTCTGTTTTTATCTTTCCTCTTTGACATAGGTGAAGAAGCTTCCCAAACACTTGAGGGAGGCTCAGATCTCGACAGAGCGAACCCACTTGATTTCGGACCCAGCAAAGAAACCACGTCAGCGATACGTGCAGAAGGATGGCAAGTGCAATGTTCATCATGGAAACGTGCAAGAGACCTACCGTTACCTCAGTGACTTGTTCACTACGTTGGTGGACCTACGCTGGCGTCTTAGTCTCTTCATTTTCACACTGGTCTATGTAGTCAACTGGCTTTTCTTTGGGTTTCTGTGGTGGCTAATCGCGCTCATCCGTGGAGATCTGGTGCATGCTGACGAGGAGGGCTGGACCCCCTGTGTGGAGAACCTCAACAGTTTTGTCTCAGCCTTCCTCTTCTCCATTGAAACAGAGACCACCATTGGTTATGGTTATCGAGTTATCACAGAAAAATGTCCTGAAGGTATTATACTGCTTTTGGTACAGGCCATCTTGGGTTCCATTGTTAATGCCATGATGGTGGGCTGCATGTTTGTCAAGATCTCACAGCCAAAGAACCGCGCAGAGACCCTCATGTTCTCACACAACGCAGTCATATCAGTGCGAGATAACAAGATGTGCCTGATGTTTCGGGTGGGGGACCTGAGGAACTCTCACATTGTGGAGGCATCAATCAGAGCGAAGCTGATCCGCTCACAGCAGACCAAGGAGGGGGAGTTCATCCCACTCAACCAGACTGACATCAACATCGGCTTTGACACAGGAGATGACCGACTGTTCTTGGTGTCGCCACTCATCATCTCTCATGAGATTAACGAGAAGAGCCCCTTCTGGGAGATGTCGCTTGCTCAAATGGAGAAGGAGGAGTTCGAGATTGTGGTTATTCTGGAGGGCATGGTGGAGGCTACAGGTATGAAGGGGGTAAGATTTTTCAAGGAAGGGGCAAAGATAGGTGGACAAGTAGAATGGGAGGAAACATGGGTCATGGATACATGGAAAGAGAGCGCGAGAATGAGAAAATGTTGGATGCATAAAGTCAGCTGAGTGGGAGGGATGGATGATGGATAAATGGATGGAAAGGCAGAAGTGGCTTACATGAGGAGATGCAGTGTGTTAAGGTGGGGGCACCTGTAAGTGCTGCAGATTGAAATGTTATAATGGATGGAAAGACAGAGAGACTAATTGACTCTCCTAGTGAGACATAAATTATATTATGACATTACAGTAAACTGTTGGTATGGGTTTCAATGGAAATTTCCATTTTATTGATTCCGTGCCAGCCAGCAATGTTTTTTGAAAGAAGTGGCTCTTTCTTCATCTGCACATTTTAAAGTACTGCTACGTTAGCTGAAGCAGATAACTAATAGCTAGAACTGTCCTGCATATATTTCTTTGTTCTTACTGAAGCCCGCATTTCCACTGTTGCTACTTCAAGGTTATGTCTTTGATATTGTTTATTTCCAAATGAATGAAGTGTAGCTACCCACACAGCTGATGTGTGTTTTGGGTGAAGGTGAAACAGTCTTGAAAAGCGCTCCAGGCTGGTTACATTTATGATGTAGACATGACCAGGTGTTTCTGTAAAGTTCCACAGAGCTACTGTTTGCCAGTTTGAAATGGTTTTAAGAGATTTTCTAAAACACTTACTTAGAACATTTAAAGTTAGTGTTTTTCTGTTAAAAAAAAGAAAAAAGAATCTACTTTTCATCATTTTAAATGTTAAAAAAGACTAAAAGCTGAATAAAAAATGCTGTAAATACAAAAAAACTTTCCAGCATAATGGCCCACAGCTAACTGTTAATTTACTGTTCTAATTTGTTTTTTGTGGTATTGGCAAACTCAGGTCTTGTTTGTATGCCTAAGCCTCATTGTTTAATGGCCTTTGCTGAAGGACTAATTACAATGCACTCATTTTAAATGCAATGCATTATACATGTCACTTTTCTACTTTATTGAATATCATCATATATCATACATCAGTCAATGAGACACACATTACTAATTTAAAAAAAAAAAAAAAACCTTGAACAAACCACACAACCCCTTAAAGTGATCAGGTGTGACTTTGCATTCATCAGAACATTTCTGCTCTATTTTTTTTTTCTCCTCCAAATCACCAGCAGTCATCCTGTTTCCTGCTCGCGCTGCTGGATACTTGACTCAGGCATTAAATCACCTTTCGCTTCACCGGCAGAGAGCATGGCATCATGAGGGGTCATGTCGTCACCGTCCTTGACCGCTAGGCAGTGAACTAATCTGACCATCCACTGGCCTTCCCCCCACTTCTTTCCTATGGATGAGGCTTACTAAATGGAGCTTAAGCCTGGGAATTAAAAGATAACTACGTCATTACAGCATATTAACGTTTTTTCTACCGACATTTGTCAACTAATTTGTCATCCGCTTTAATTACTTTCACTGACACAAATCATGAAGTCAGGATAGAACTTAAAGATGACATTATCCCAGACAGTTGGGATTTGATTAAAGCCTGCTTATAATCATTAATAATGTTGTTTAAATTAAACTGTAAGGTCCTCAGCTCATAAGAATTTATATGTATTGCAGAATAACTACTACAATGTCATTTTTTTTTAAGAATTTGGTCAGGTGGTCAGGTATGGGTAAATGGATGACCTATGCTGTGTTATGCAAAAACAGATTTTTTTCCTGACCCAACAGAAAAATAGATTATTTGTAGAATAAGCATCTTTGGTTCAATATCAAACAAGTAATGATCTCATTAACTAAATCCATCTGAGACGGATTAAAAACAGCAACTGATGAGGTCCATGAATTGTCCAAGCTTTGAATGTCATGAGTAAAAATTCACTATTAAACAAAATATCTACCACCTCACAAGTTGGACACTGCCACATATTTTGGAAGTGACAGATAAGTGGGTGTTGAAATGGCTTCTTTCTCTCCTGAGCCATTACTTGTTTGCTGCATTGACAACCAGCCTGTCGTGTTCAGCATAACTGTGAGTCAGGCTCTGGAAATCACTAAAAACACAGCACTCCCACAGTGTTTGTGTTAAAAAGTAAAACAAGAGGACGACTTATTAAAGAACATTCTGCCCTCCTACTTCATGACACAGTGTAATTGTACTAATGAAGATACATGTAGTAAAACAAGTGACATACACGCTCCATTAAACTGTCACAGTTGATGAATGTGAGACAGAAACAGTGTGCGTTGTGCGAATAAAAAATACTATCAATATCGAATCATATTTCTATTTTTTTAAACAATCAAGTACCGACTCTTACCTACATGGCACATGCTATTTAAGCTGTTTCAAATAAATGAAACTCTTCCACAACACCTACAGAAATAATCTTTTCTGTAGCAGGGGCATTTTCCACTCATATCTAGTTGCAAAAGACAATGTACTACAGAGTTTATCTTCCATAGAAAGCATAAAGAAATGTACTTTTATCTGTCTAGTTTAGTTTACCAATGCAAATTTCCTCTTATCACAACTGTCTTAAAACCTTTCCATATTGGTTTTATTACATTTATATTAAGCATGTATTAATGTGCAATTTTAGAAATCAAGCACAAGCATTGCCAACAACAGACACCCACGATTAAGTGCGATGTGATGGTTAGTGCTATAGTAATACAATATATATAATACTAATTACCAATAATAACCGTCCTCTGTTTAAACATTCCAAAAATAGTAAGGCATATTTTTGATAGAAAACATGGTAATCATCCATAGAATGTCTAAGGAGCAGCCAAACAAAATTCTCTTATATCACACATATTTACAAATCGCAGAGAAATCCCTAGACTTAAGATGTACTGTTTTTGCACTGGGTATTTTTTATATCCAGTCAATGTTGCAGAATTCTTTCATTCTACTTTGCTTTAAACAAAGTGGCATTAAGTCACAGTTTATTGTCATGTTTCTGGTACTTCTTCAGCTGTACCAAAAAGTACAGTACCGACAATGACAAATCTTGTTTTCATTATTTACGTGTCTCTAAACTGAACATAGCGGGTTTAAACTTTTGTCCCTGGTTTCTTTTACAGTAAATAATTTATAAGTAAAATAAGGCCTGTTTTATTCTCAGATTTCAGAAAGCATCTTGCATCAGTGCCTTTGCTGTGTAAACAAGAGTGTCTGCAATGCTTGTTTGTTGGGTTTTTTTGTTTGTTTGTTTTGTTTTTTTTCCTGTCATACTTACTGGGAAATATGTACTATAAAGGGCCAAAAGGTACATTTTAGATATGGTTGTTGGCAGCGGTTTCTCCTACAAGAAAAGTGAACATATCTGTACTATATGTGTCCAAACTGGAGATCAGTTACCATGATGCATGTAAGAATAGCCTCTCTAAATAGATTCATTCATATAAGAATTTTAACAATATTATTGAATAACATTTCAAAACGCATAACTGCTGTTGCAAGAAGTTGCTTTTTGACATTTAAGGACATAGTATTGACGCATATCTTCTGCAATTAGAACAGTGTTGTCACCTGCAGGTTATGTGTACTATAGCTGTTGCTGCTGATTTATAATGTACAATTCAAGTCTGAAATCTGTGCTAGATTTTTTAATTAGACCATATTTTGAGGAATATATTTAAAATAGTTCAAACTTCTCAGTGTCATTGTGTGCCCTGTGTCCTCCAACATTGTCCCTGTAGTTGGGGTAGAATGGATGTATTTCACTAGGTTTCATTCCACTGCACAGAATAAAACACAGGAAAAAGAAATTACAAGACCAACCCTCAGCATCTTTGTTTTGGGTACCTGAAGGAGGGAATTTGAATAGCCATATTACGTCAATTTGAAGCTTAGTCAGCACAGGACACGCGACCATGAACAAGAAGCCTTGAGGGGAAAACCAAATGTCATCAAACACAAGGGTAAAGTACAACTTGAACAAGACCGTTCTAATTGCGGTCCTATTATGTTCTCTGAAATGACCCTATTTTCGCACAGATCGATTGTATTACACATTAACAGCATTGTTATTATCTAACTAATGAATAATAATATGCAAGTGTTTCTAAGAAATTATTAAAAATGTTCAGGTGTAATTTAAGGTTTAATTAATAATAATTTAACTAAACTCATTCAGCCATCTCACCTGGAACACTGTATTACATAAACAGACATTATGTACAGTTGCTTAGTGTTTAGGCTCCAACTGCGTCTCTGCCTATAAGTTCAGCACATCAGCAATTGGGAAATGACAACAAAACCTTTTCCCCAGGAGAGTTTAGTGTCAGGGTATAAAGATAAATGCTAGGTGGGATTGTTGAAGTTCAAGGAAAATGTAAACAGCAGCAATGACAGCTGCAACACATATGATGGCAGCAATTACACCTGTGTAACTAATAACATTATTGAAAGCTTTTTTCCATATTTGTGTGCCAGTGCCCAGCATGCACAACACCACTTTCCTGCTACTGACACACCTAAATGGAAAGCTGCCGTATGAAAGTAATTATTATTATACCTGTATTTGATAAGTGAGAAAGGCGTGTTGTCAACAGAGCTGTGACTGTTCATTTATATTCAAAGATTATGCTGGTACTTTTGCACGCTTTATCCTGTTTACTACATTTGGGGAGGTTTGAAAAAATGGTTCTGGCTGCTCTGATTGTTTAGGCGACACTAAGCTGTGTGTCTAGTTTACATGCTGTGGAAATCCCCAGCTGCAGCTTTTGTGATGCAGGAAGCAACCAGTTTCACATTATCACTTTTAAGACATTCTTGTTTGCTCATTGTTTCTTGCTTTCTCGCTGTTTTTTTCTGGTGAAGACAACAGAAAAAATGAAAAACTGTGGTTCAGTCAAGCATGCATGCACATATGGTTGTCAGGAATAAAATTATCTGAATTCTGTAATCTTTATTTATTACCATGGCTGCTGCTCATCTGCCAACTGTCGAGTCTTGAAGCACATGAAGTCATCACAGCACAAGTGTCTCCTACGCACACTGGAGCCTGCAGCAGACCATGTCTAAAAAAAAAAAGAAAAAAAAAAAAAGGTATTTTGCACAAAAGATACAAGAGAAAAAAGCTAATTCACTGTTTGGAGGCCAGGAGCTTAGGAGGGGAAAAAAAGGGGACACATTTGCATACATTATTTGCTTTTGCTTTTACCTCTTTCTTTGTTGTCAAAAATGAAGTGTGTCTTCAACAATAGATTGTTGTCCAAAAACTTAATGTGTGTATGTGTATGGTTGATGATGGATGATTCTTATTTTTGGTTCCATCTCTTTTTTAATCTTAACCCTCAGGAAATAATTGCTCTCAGAATTAATTTTCATAATCAACATAATCAAGACTATACCACTGCATCAGCAAAGTATTAATGTAGTGTGAAGTTTCTGTAACAAATCCCTAATAAAAATGATAAAACTGGGTGCAGCATCTCTTAAGCACTAATAGGACACGGTACTATAGATCTTCACAAAGCATCTTAATGTATTTGGACTGCTAAACTAAGAATTCAAAACCAACACATCAAATAATATGCCAACAGCCTTAATAGACACTATACAAACCCTTCTCATTAGGGAGTGAAAGACGTTATATTGTCTTTGATGATCTAGTCACAGAAATAACAAACATTTCACAAGTTAAATGTGGAAACTAGGCCACTCATAGAGGGAAAGCTGAAGAAAATGTGCAAAAGCCCTTCCTCTCACTGTGACATATTAGTTTGGCATCTACATCTATTTAAGAGCACATGCTTGATGTTATTTGGAATGTTATGCATTTACAAATTATGTAACAACAGCTGGCTCACTAAGGCATCTAATGGAAGGAACACATGTTTTCAGTTTGAAATGATTAAACACAATATCAAATGCTTGAAACAAAGCTACACTGTAAACCAGGCATTTAGTCAAATCCACTTTTTTTTCTTATTAACTGTCTGTATACTAATTTATTGGCAATTCAACATTTCAGACCACTTCTTGAGTTCTTATAACATGAACCATTTTGATGCAAAATGAGAACTTAAATCAATGAACAGCTGAGCATACACTCAACTTATGAAATTCGGTTTATAAGAAACAAAAATGGCATTTAGGCTCTTGCATATTTTGTAGTTAGAGAAAGCCAACATTGTGGAAACTTGCTTTGTGTCTTTAATACAAATGCTGCTAAAAGCAACCCAGTGTCCCAAATGTTATGTTTCTATATAACTAAACTCTGCTGCCAGTTACATTTTACAGGATTCATAGCTTTTATTTGCTCTTTTTCAGCCAACCAATCATACATTAGGCTGGACAGTAACACCGTGGTAACCCAAAAAATGGAGGAGAGTCTTCAAATATGCTTTGAAAGGGTTTTTTATTAACAAAAACCATGCTATATTCCAAAACCTAGCCATGTAGTTTTGGTGCCGAAGCCTAACACAAAAGCAAGCGTAACCTGAAAGTAAACAATGAGTGAAAACGGAAATTAAGTCTAAGGATATCTGAGGTTCACAATACAAAATAAAAATTACAGACATCAACAATGTCATTTTGACTAGTCATAATTACACTGTGACAAGTCCGAATTTTTATTCAAGATTTCTCAGAACATCTTTCTGACCAGTCATAATGACAGTGATATCTGTAATATTTGAGCAGTTTAAGCGGATTTAATAGTGGTTGCGGTGGTGGATAAGATCTATGAAAACTGAAAATAATATCTCCTTATGAAGATTGTCATTTATAAAGTTTGAAGTGAAAGGTGAGAATTTGTAGGACATCTAAAAGCGCATACATTTTACATTGTATATGCAAATGTTAAATGTGCAAAAGAGAGGATAGTACCTAGCTTGCTTATCGTGAATAAGAACATCTCTTGCTTCCACCAAACCTTCGCACCTTACAGTGAAATTGGACTATTTTATTTGAGATTAATAGTGTGTGATTGTATTAGCTGTTTGTTACTTTTGCCCCCATGTGTTTTACAATAAGCTATTCGCTGCAATGCTTACTTTCGACAGCTCGGTTCCTCCATTAATAAACAGGTTCACACCAGATAGTCTGTCGCTGCAGGTGTAATTAATAACTGCAATAACAACTGTGTTCTACTGAGCCTAGACAGCTTCACAACTCCAGTATAAACATGTGCAGACATCTTAACTTGTCATAGAAGGAAAAGCCCAGATGAAGCAGAAATGAGTCTCTGCTCCTGGATATTGAACTGGACCCACATGGTGGTTCATTTGGAAACTTTTGGTTATTTCACAAAAAACTGATCACCAAAACAGGTTTCTGAAAACATATGAGACAAGAAAAAGGCCATGCAGTTGACTAATCTGTCTTTATTTTAGATTGATAATGATTTGTTTAAATTTTTTTTCAAAGCCTGCAGAAGCAGCGGATCATGCTCAACGCTCTGCATATGCATAAAATAGCCTAGACCTCAACTTTTGCAAATGAGGAGCAGGCAACGCAATGCTCCGTCTTATGAAAAGCATTGTGACGCTATCAGAATGCATTTCATGGGTGCTTACATCCACAATGAATGGGACATGTACCATAAGTGTACCAGTAAGCTATGTCAGTGAGTCAACATTAATAACACAAGGACTCAGAAGCCAGCTCACCTGAATAAAATGCAATTATTTTTAATGTTTCAGTTCCACAAGTGCTGTTACCACTATGACAAGTCAAAATGTCTGCTGACAACCCTTGGAGCCCAATTAATGCACTTTGCATCCAACCTCATATGTTTACTAATTTCAACACTCCTTTTCACACTCCTTGAACAGGTTTCACAGCACATGATATATCAAAAAAAAAGAAAAAAAAGAAAAAGAAAAGCAGAACTTGCCCTTTCTGATGATACTAGTTGTTTCTCCATGTGACAAAGCATTGCTGAGTTTTGAAATTACAGCTAATCTATGCATTGTTTCCAACATAGGGCTGACATTACATTCTATTTTGTAAGAAACATACACACAAGACATGGTTTTGTTTTTCATTGCAACGATTCCAAACTTGTGGTCAAATGACATGTGTAGGTCACCTGTGTGCAAGTAGGCAGGTGTGATTCTAGACTCTGGGTGGCCCCAGGCAAAGTAGCCATTGGGAGCCCCTTGGTGAGGGGGGGGAAGGTGAAAACACACTGGTTTGCTTCTCAATGATACACCTCAGCAAGTAGGCATGTACACACATCAATCAATACAATAATTACATTTGTTTTCATTTTATTTTTCAAATTTCGAAGTCACAGAGCAACCCATCAATGAGGCTCTTACATTGTCAGGTTCTGGACAATGTATTATTTTTGAAAAGATATTTCTACTGCCTGCATACACACACTGACATACATCTAAAAACGTAAGAGGTTCAGATTAGAAAAAATTATATCCCCTCTAAGCTAAAAAGTAAATGTAGTGAAACTAGAACACTAAATAGAATTGAGCCATTATTAATCGTAGTTGCTACTTTGATTTTGATGCTTTAAATTCAAAATGTTGCACCTGTGTGACACCTGAGTTGGACCATTGTTCAACATGTCAATGTTTCTAGCACTTTGCTGAGACAGTTAATGAATAGAGACTATAAATTTGCAGTAAATCTCCAAGACCAAGCCTTTCTGTCTTTCCACTTCCAGAACAAGCGCAGTTGCAAGAGTGGGCTGTGAGATGTGATAGTTTTATTCAGGCTTGCTTATTGGCAAAAACACACCTAAGAAAATAAATATTGACATCTTGTGTGCAAATTCATCATGTATTTTTCACCACTACGGCATTCACAAACATGATGGAGGCTTAGAGGAAACACTGCTGGCAGTTCTTGTACAACCATGAATAATTAACCAATGCTGTCATTCTCTTTCTCCTTACACCTCTTTCCATCTGTGTGTGTGTGTGTGTGTGTGTGTGTGTGTGTGTGTGTGGGTGTGTTTGTTCACCTGTCCACTCTGATTGTGCATGTTTGCCTTTGTGTATTTGTGCTACATTTTGATGTGATGTGTGTGCTTGCGTTTGTGCATGTGGACACATACATCCATCCTTACCTGTGGCAGGGATGACATGTCAGGCACGAAGTTCCTACCTGGACACGGAGGTGCTGTGGGGCTACCGCTTCACGCCAGTTCTATCACTGGAGAAGGGCTTCTATGAGGTCGACTACAACAACTTCCATGATGTCTATGAGACCAACACCCCCACCTGCAGCGCCAAGGAGATGGCGGCCAAGCTTCGGGATGGGCCACTATTGCCGCAGCTTTCACTCCTCAGCCCTGAGCCCAAAATGCACACTTTTGACCCCCTAGACCGCCTATCAAAACAGGATCCACTCAGCCAGGACGAGGAGAAGGAGGACAGGGATTCAGGGGGTGACAGAGGAGAGACTAATGGCTCAGCCGCTGCTTTGGAGGAGCCCCCCTTTGCTGATGGACTGCCTGACTGATTGGCTACATCAGCTAAAAACCCAGGAAAGACTAGACAAGAGGACATGACAATATAATGCTTCATTTAGTCAATGGCCAGCTTGTTCCATTGCAGTGCTTGGAGAAACAAGACATCTGTCTCCAGCCCCCGACTCATGCAATACTCCTCTACTAAAGTGTCAATCTATAGTATAGATTGGTTTTGTAGACAAGTAAGTACACATACACTGACACAAATGTACAGTATCTATATCTACACTTAAAGGTTGGTGGTTCAGATTGTCTTTTTATAATCGTAACGACCACCTACTGCTATAACTCAGCAGCTCAAGTTGTATTATATAAACTTGAACTGAAACTGGTAGCCATGACAGCATACCATGGGCTTATTATGGATACTCCAATATTCTCATTTTAGAGTGTATTAATTCAGCTTCATTAGAGCAGGGTCTCATAATTCAGCTCATGTGTCTGACAGCAGCTTCTGCGTGGTAATGGAACTTTGCTATTGAAGATTTTTTTTTTTTTTTTTTTTTTTTTAATGTGGGAAATTAATATTTCCTTTATCTGTCAGTGTTGTTATTCTGTCAAAAATCTCATTCACCTAGGAGGAAAAGTATAAGGCTTCTAGTTTGAATAGGCAAGAGAAGATGTAGGAAATTGTTCTATAAAAAGCAACATGTACTGACAGCCATAATCTAGTTTTGTTTTCTTTGTTCACATCTTTTCTCATGGTTGTACTGTCATAAATGCTCTCACAGTGTGTGTCTGGTTTTGTCCCCAATACTTTGAGAGCCTTGACCCAAAATAAACCAGCTAGTACCTCATTTTCTACTCATTTTCAGGGTTTTAAATCAACAAAAAGTACTAGGCAAATGCTGCTAAAAGCAACCCAGTGTCCCAAATGTTATGTTTCTATATAACTAAACTGTGCTCCCAGTTACATTTTACAGGATTCACAGCTTTTATTTGCTTTTATTTTCAACCAATCATACATTAGGCCAGGCAGTAACACCGTGGTAACCCAAAAAATGGAAGAGAGTCTTCAAATATGCTTTGAAAGGGTTTTTTATTTACAAAAACCATGCTATATTCCAAAGCTGAAACCATGTAGTTTTGGTGTCGAAGCCTAACACAAAAGCAAGCGTAACCTGAAAGTAAACAATGAGTGAAAACGGAAATTGAGTCTAAGGATATCTGAGGTTCACAATACAAAATAAAAATTACAGAGATCAACAATGTCATTTTGACTAGTCATAATTACACTGTGACAAGTCCGAATTTTTATTCAAGATTTCTCGGAACATCTTTCTGACTAGTCAAAATGACAGTGATATCTGTAATATTTGAGCAGTTTAAGCAGATGTAATGGTGGTTGCGGTGGTGGATAAGATCTATGAAAATTGCCATGAAATGAAAACAGGTCACCAGCAATGAGTTTGTAGAGAGTGAGAGCTTTTTTCATTACAGACTTGTGTGGTTGGAGTTTACTGGAATAGCAGTAAAATGTCTTGTTTTGTATCATTACTGTTGCAGTGACATAGGATTTGAAAAACAAGATGCTGAAGTTTAAGATATCTACATCATTCCAACTAGTTTAAACTTCATTTAAAATCTTTAATATGGACAATATAGATATTTTGAACTGAGAGGAATTAAAGATTGCTAGAATTAGAACTAGACCAGTCAGATTAAAACTGCAGATATCTAAAAGTGGAGTTATAACTCGTCATAATTCAGCTGTAGATATGCAGCTGAACTATAGATATCTGTAATGAGAAATCCCAAACACGAATGGAAAAAGTGACGTCATTTGTCCTAGGAAGAATGACACTGTGGATATCTGAAATGTTCTTTTTGACTAGGAAGAACTGAATTATGGATATCTGCAATACATATCCAGTCTTGCTATTAAATTTTAAAATGCCTTGGCATATGACTTATGCCTCACCCTTAAACAGACTTCGTGGCTCTTTCAAACTTTAAGCCTTTCTACTAAGTTACAGGTGAAGAAAATATGTTTCCTTCACAATAAAATTACATTTCTTTTAAAATGTAAATGAGAAGGCAGTTAAGTTGTATGGGAACATAATTTCCGGGGGACAAGTTTGGGTGAAAGCTATATATACTACTGACTTGACTCCTCTGAAAACTTCTTGGCTGGTCACAGATTTATTTCTCCGTCCCACTGCAGCAACTGAAAGAATATGTTCAGCCCCTTTCTTGGTACATAAAGCACAATTTCCAATCTAGGGGGGGACTCCACACTGACCTAACCACCCACTGAGCCACCGCCACTGGGTGATGCATGTCAGTCCTAGTTACAAGTGACATTCAAGTGTAGATTCAAATATGTATATGAAGTATTTATGCTAAACTTCTATTTGAAATGTTCTTGATTTTTATACTTCGCATATATCAATATTTCAAATGCTCCACAAGCAAAATGGCATACTCCATGTATCCCTTTTAAGTTTGTGTTGCTTTAGTTTTAAATATTTAAAAGGTGTTCAACCTTTATATTTTTCACTTGCCTGAAACCCGGGTGTGCTGATGATAGGAACAGATATTCTGTCTTACATCATGAGTTTAGTATCTGGACAGCTCATTGCTTAACTCTTCTGCTCCTCTGAATATCACCTTTAGTTTTTGCCTATGATTTGAAGTCTCTTCTATCCACACAAACTTGGTTCAGTTTACAACCCCTGGTGCTTGATATATTTTATGGCCCTTGATTACTGATTTGGAAGCTGACACTTGATCTATGTGGGCTGTGACCTACAATGTTTCTTTGACTTTGCTTTGAAGGACACAGAGCTTGCGTGCATGAATCAACCCTTGTTCCCTCCCATTGTTAAGTAAGTTTCATACAGTAAGAAATACAGGGTATTTTCTAGGCATGCAAATTACGAGATTTCTACAATATATTATCAGACAATGTATTAATATCAAATTATCATTTGTTGAAAGAAAATGAGATTCCTGATACTTCAGTCTCCCATTCCCCAGTTCAATGATAAATAGTTTGTTTTTTTTGTTTTGATTTTGGACGGGTGTCTGTCTATTCAGTGTTTTTGTTTTCACTGTGACATTTTAGCACCTTACTATGTATGCCATTTGCTGAACGATGCGTTTGTCACTAGAGAATGATCATCTTTCATTCCTGGAATGTCATCTGTTTTCTGTGTGTTCTCATGGGAATAAACATAATATGGCCAAAAAGAACAAGATGTTCCTTTTAGATAATGTGCACATGCATAAACATGTGTATGAGAATGTAATTTTACACGTAGCTTTGAAACTGATAATGTGAAAGTACCTTCATTTTGAGTAAGGTGTGCACTGTATCAGCAATAGTGTGACAAAATGACAAAATTAACCTGTGTGTGGCTCTGGGTAAAACAACTCTGCCTTGCATCCAAAACTGCATTAGCTGTGCATCAGATCATGAAAAGGAAACTTCAGCAACCTTTATCAGTAAAGAACAATCTTGTCTTGCACTACACCTTGAGGCAAAAACTGCTTTATGCATGCTAAGGAAGCGATATGAAAAGATAATATCAACAATTTAGTTGCCTCCTTCCCATGTCTGAATTTAAATTAATTATATAAAATTGTACAGCAATAGCCAGTGGTTTCCAATGGATTAATATGGCTGAGTCTGCGGAGTCCTCAGGACCTAAACAGCGTCCCTGAGTCGGCTCTAAATGCTGAGAGAATGCAATTTTATGTAACAATCATAGACACATACACACACAGGAAGACACACCACAGAAAACAGCTGGCAAGAGTGATTAAGAAGCTTACCACAGTTATTAACTAGTGACGGAGAAAACACTAGAGAAGTCAAAGGCAATCACATTTATCCAGCATCTCAGAGTACAACCACTCAGAAGAATGAAACATAATGCTACATTTGATGACCAGTGTGCCACAGAAATTCACTGAATTACAGCAATGTGCTGTCAAGGCTATTCTTGTCCAAGCTATTAAATTTGGAAGCAGAATCGTCAGCAAGCTGACAGTCCCTGATTCAAATCTGAATAATGTACGATGATGAATATAATGCATCCATTGAATGGTGCATTGAAATAGGTACCCAAGGCAGGTGCATGTGGGTGAACATGTGTGTGTGTGTGTGTGTGTGTGTGTGAGAGAGAGAGAGAGAGAGAGAGAGAGAGACAAAGAGAGACAGAGAGAGAGAGATGGGGGATAGACACAATCAATCATCACAACCTCAAGCTAACAGCACACTTGTACACACAATGATACACACTACAAAACACAAAATTATCCATTTAGGCTTTTGTTACAATAGACATGCCCTTTTCACTGAGAGAAAATTATGAAGGAGGACAAAGACAGACAAAAATGTCTCAAGCTGATGAATGACACCACACCATCAGAGTAACTAGCTATTGTTCTTTCTCTTGCCCTGGCTAGCTGATATACTTCCCTTCTCCGTTAAATAATGCATGCTTGTGATGAAGAGGGAAGCATTAACAACTATGTAGTCAGAATAAAACATCCTGCGTAAGAGAGGGAATTACAGGCAGAAAAAATCAGGTGGTACAACACATGAGGAGTGCTTTCCATATCGATGCTATATCCATCTTGGACTCCCTCAGTCCTGTTCTTGCAAACCCTCTCAAACATACTCTGTTCAGAGGGGACTGACTGACACAGATGTAATGGAGTAGGATAAAGTGAAGGAGCACTTTTCACAATTTCTATGTACTGCCTATGTTTTTCTCCCGTCTTCCATCCATGCTCCCAAACCCCATTGTCCCCTTTTTAGCAACTGAGTCTCCCTGCTGCAATTATATCTTATTAAGCATTCAAATCTCCTTTTACATGGCACTGTAATGGATCCACTGTCTTCATTCCCTCACAGCTCCAACTGGAAAGAGGCTTTATGTATATCATTTATTTCTCTTTCTCTATCTTTTAAAGCTAGCAATTTAATTCCTTACATATTGGCTGAGGCCAGCTCTGCATATGCATCTTCACACGCAGCTGT